TGTCATGCTCTCCTTGTAGCCTACTATTCGGTACTTTCATCCTCCAGCAGTATGATTCCTACTTTGATCGATATATGCTCACGGGTATAGTGCTTGAGTAATTTAACAAAGTTGTTAAAATAAGGTTATCTGTGGTTTCATATATAAATATAGCAAATATATTTTAATAGGCAAAGGTTTCATGTTTCAAATTACCCTTTTCAAGGGAAACAGTCATACTCAATTATTGTTCTGCCACATAAACTGGACAAATACACGATTTGAAAATGGAACAGCAAATTAAAATCCGTGCGAGGCAAAGAATACCAAGCAGCAGCCCCTTCCGAAGCTGACCACACTGCCTGATTAAGGTCTTATGAGGCGGTTTGGTAAGAGGCCCTTTCCTGATCTGATAACTGCCACGGAGAAGCCAAATGCAGAGTCAATCTGCAAATACTTAATCCTCCAGAAGGCAGATTAAGTGTATAATTGACCTATATAATCCATGTATCATCTCCAGTCAAATGTTCCCTGGGCCTGGTTCACAACGACACGGGGCCTGAAGAAAGCCAGCGCGGATGCGGCATTACCACCAACGTGGATTCCATCCAAGTTCGAGATGGCTTTTTAATCACTCATCTCTGAGCCTGTGAGGTTTAAGCAGATGAATTCACCCTAAGCACATCTCTTTTAATCCCGATTTTCTTCTCAGTCTGTGTCTTCAAGAAGTACAAGGAGGAAAGAAAATTAATTTTTTTTAGACCTTGAAATCTTAGGTGCTTCTCTTGATGATCTGATCTCTAATTTCAAAAAGCATGCTTTTATTTTGGGGAAGATGTTGAATTAATCACTAGAGAAGGAGGGAAAAGCCATCTGCATGATTTATGGACACTCCAACTTTAAATCACTGTCTTCAAGTTATTTCTTGAGCTTGTGCTTTCCTCTGTAGCTGCTGCTTTAGGAATATGGATATTATTTCATATCCATGTTTTATATTTTCTTTGAATGTCAGCAATAATTTTCAAGAAGGCTGAGCTTCCACTTGAGTCTCAGAGCAGTCTGATCTTCTTTTAAAAATTCAGCATCTTTAATATATTTGAATTTATTGTTTTTATGTATATTGGAATATTCTCTTGCTTTAAATCTCAGAATGTTTTGTTTCAAAATGTTATAAACTGTTATTTTGTAGCAACTGAAAACCATATACAATTATACTTCTTTTTTTATGAAAAAATTATAAAAATGCAGATAAAAGATGTACAGCTGCACGTCTGAAATATTATGGGAAACAGTTTGCCGATTCTTTTCTGATCAGCACTTTGTCTTGGATTGGTTAGTTTTTTTCTTAGGTGTGTTATCAAGAAAGTCATTAGTATTTTATAGAAAGACTAGGTAAACCAATCATATTCATAGACAAAGAAATCTTAACTGCAAAAGCAACCCAGTTAGGTAACATTAGGTCCAAATGTATTTCTCCAACAAACCTAAAGAATGCTTGGTTAAAAAAAAAAAATCGGTGAAGATGAATTTGGAAAGCCTGTTCTTAAGTTACGTAATAAAATAGATAAAAATGCAGAACATCAAATATAGAGTCCCAAATGCTATGCCGATAATCTCCCACAAGCACCCACTTCCAGCCAAAAGTACAATGACGTGGCAAAGAGAAAACTAGCTCAGAGAGCACTGGGTAGGGGCCTAGTTAAAGCAGAAAATGCACCGTTAAATGACCAGCTATTAATCCAAATATTCTCAAAAACAAACACACACTAAAACCATCCAGCCTTTTCTACACTGGCACACTCAGAAGGGCAAAAACAGGAACAATACCAAATAGCAACAACTTAAAGGACTTATCAGGTAAATAAAACTGAGACTTGAAACACAGTTAAAAACACAACAGGAACTCTTAGAACATGCCTCTGAATGACAGATGCCAGCAGGAACTAAAAACCAGAGAATGACACAACAATCAGAATCAACAACCCCCAAACAGCAAACAATCTCGGAGATATATATTTTTTTCTTCATTCAAAATGTTAATTTGCTATTATTCATTTTTGCCATTTATCAAAATGCAACGATTTGGAAGAAAAATCTCACAGATCAACAAGTCTTTCTCAATAGGTTTCTGCCAATTGTTTAGAAACTTGCCCCAGGACCACTATCATTAAGGAATGGGATTTAAATAATAATTTCATTTGCAGCAAGAAATTTAGAGTGGCAGCTTTCACAGACCCTTCTGCCTTGATATTCCTATTCCCTTGTTTAGCTTGGTGGACACACGAGTTTTGCAGAGCATATATACAAAGAAATAAACACCATGCTTGAGGAAACAGAAGCCGAAAATAATCAAACATGTTGGTAATCTGATGTTTTGCTGCTAGATTATAGAAAAACAGTAAGTACTGAATTAAATTACTGAGGCTGCATGGTAATGAAGCTTTTTGAGAAGCTCTGGGTTGTTAAAATGACAAATGTTTTAAATCCATGACAGATTCAATAACTTTTTTTGCACTACATCAGTTAGGTTGCCTAGCACCAATATTCTGTAAATTAGGAGATCAGGTTATTTAGAAAGTAAGAAAGTAAATGGCAAAGAAACTTGTTATATCTAAATAAGCTCCTGAAATTTTTTTTTTTTTCCCCATGGGGCCGGGAGTGATATGCAGTGAATGACTGTAACAGTTAAACCTTTACAATCAAATATACTCAGGACGGTATAACTAAGACTGTGTTGGGAAAACCAAATTGGGACAACATCAGACTAAATTGTGGGGGTTTCCACAATGTTACTGATGCTATTTTATGCTGGTCAGTGGAATTCAACAAGGGATTGGAGGTACTTGTGAATTTTTGAATGTCGCTAACTATAACTTGCTTTTGGAAAAAAAAATATTCTCAGTAATATTTCTTTTCACTATTAATTTACATTAAAGGCTGGAAGGCTTGAATTTTGCCTGTGGTCTTCAACAGTCAGGCAAGTCCAGTTTTATCATCTGTACTAGCCAAGGCTGTACCTTTACTTTTTAAATGAAGATTTGGTTGCACTTTCCTTTAAGAAGAGCCACAAAAGAGATAATTTGCCTTGCTGCCTTCAGCAAGGCTACCTTGCTTGTACTTCTAATTTTTTTACAAATGAAGTGACAAGCTAAACTGCAGATTAAACATCAAATTCAGTACTAGATTTAAGTTTTAGAGAACACAAGGTTATTGGTTATTCACACACACTCACACAGTAACACACACACACACACGCACACACGGGCCACATAAAACTGAGAATTGGAAGATACTGATCAAAGGAAAAAAAAAGGCAACCTAGGCATTGAAAAGAACAACCCACAGGCTTCTTGAAAATTTGTGGTTTGAAATTTAATTCAATGGAGATGGGCAGAGTGTCCACACTCCTAACTGCAGACCCGAGGGTCCTGCCTGTCTCTGTTTTCAATGCCTATTGGATGGTGATTGTGCCCCAGACATTCTAGGCTCAGTACTTTCATATAAGGCATGCATGCAGAGAAGGGGGAGGACCCGCTGGTGAGCTTTATGCATGTATGAGGCATTCTCAGTGGATGTGGGTCATGCTAGAAGATGTACACAGGAAGATTATTTGATTCTAATTCATGCCACTTGATATAATGTGATAAAACATTTGACATGAGAGATAAGTTCCATTTTTATCTGAGAGAGGACGGGTGGGAATTAAAAAGTAAGAAGGGTTATATTGAGGAAAGGTGATGCAGGGGAAAGAGAGGTATCAAGCACAGAAAGGGGATGATTGGAAAAGAAAAAAAAAAAAAAAGAAAGGAGCCTTTCAACACACGAGGAAAGCAAATGAGCTGGAAGACAAAGCATATAAAAGTCAGAAGCCGCAGAATCAGAAAGCGGTGCCAACAATGAGCTCACTTAGCTGTGGAACAAAAACACACACACATACACACACACACAAACTCAATATAAATTGCTGAACACAATCACAGAAAAAAAAAAATAGAAACACGGATTCCATAGTAGACCAAAACATTAATGTTCGCATTGGCACTAAAAATATGGAAACCTGGACAGGAGAAGCTCACGTTTCACAAGACAGAAGTAGGCTGCACACTCAGAGCCACAGGGAGACAAGAACATCAGCTTCCATGCACTCTGGCCGGGTCTATACTGGCAAATTCAGTGGAAACCCGAGACGAAATATTGGGCTAAATTAGGTAGCCCCATCTGCTTTGGCCTGAAAGAGACAGGCAATGTGAGACCAAAGCAGATTTCTTTTTTTTTTTTCTTTTTGCCTCAGTGGCTTGCTTTGCATGCAGATGCAGTCCCAGTGGAAATAAGATTGCTCAAAAATTATTAACCCTTGGTAATCTGCATTTTCTGAAGTTTGATCTGGGTCCACAGCCCAATGTACTCATTCTTTGTACACCTGCTTCTCGTAAATTTTCAGCTGGGTGGGTGGGCAGCGGGCACCATGGTTTAAAGCTGCAACTGACTGAGCAACTGTAATGTAAGTGTTTGCCGAAACCCAGGGTAAGGATTTCGAGTCTTCCAGGAACGAAATTATCTTTGAAGTGATAACGATGTGACATTTACTGCACATCTGCACGCCACAGCTGGTGTCAGGGAGGCGCCACCCCCAGGAGAGGGAATTGGTCTCAGCCTCCCTGATGAGAACATCTCCCTAAAGTGAGGCCAGATTGCAAGGAGGAAAACCATGACCAAGAAAGGTCTTTGCCAGTTAGAGAAAGCTGCCTCGCAAGCTTCGTGCAGGAATGAGCCTGCTTGCCGAGAGGCTGTGTGCCGTCCTACGTATCACACAGATTGGGACTGAGACACTGCCACACCAGAGTGGGTTCAGAACAGACACAAGACAGATAAGAGCCTAAGGCAGAGGGAGAGGAGAAGATTTAGTCTGAATCAGAACCAATCCATTTTCTCAAAATGTGACTTATCCTCCTGTCGCTTATTTTGTCACATTTTGGAGGGTCTCCTCCTTGGTTTTCAAGGAGGAGAAGGCATTTACTTACATCAAATAACCTTTCTATGTACATCTCCTCATTGACCTTATCACGCAGGACATCCTGAGAATGGCGGACGAAAGTCACGTAGGCGTCGGCCACATCCATCCCAGGTTTCTGTAAAGAAACAGGAAAACATGAAAATGAATTTTCAGACAGCCACTCTTCCCTGTTTACCATTCACTTTTACCCTCTACTTGCCCTCACACACCCTGAGATGCTTCTGCTGGATCACCTTTGTAGGCATGGGATTGCTGTCCACAGCCTGGGCTGGTAGGAATTGATATTAGAACTGCTTCCTCTTTCCAGAAATCAAGCCTGGCTAAGAAGGGCATTGAGCTTGTAGGATTTTGTAAATATTTTTCTATGATTAATTCTTTCCTGGCAAATTTATCTAATGGATAAATCTTTACTGCATAACTCAGAGATGTTCTCTGACTTTGCCTTGGATTGAAACCCCCATTAAAGAATACCCAAACATACTGTTTTCCACTGTCCTTAATATATTATCAGAAGGGTGATGGAACTTCCCATTCCTTTTTCCTCTTTTAAAAACTTGAGAAAGTACTAAGTAAAAAAAAAAAAATTGTATTTCAATCTATACCCCTTCCTACTCAAGTCTCATTTTGTGTGTGTGTGTGTGTGTGTGTGTGTGTGTGTGTGTGTGTGTATAGTTTAACCTGAGTGGACATAGTATTTGCTAATTAATTAGTTCACTGAGAGGAGACACTAAACAATTTGTCTTTGCTTCCAGTGCAGCCTTAAAGTCTAAGGATTAAAAAGAAGAAGAAGAAAAGAAAAGAAAAGGCAGGGTAAGGAGGAGAGGATTTGATTTTTAAATAAATCAGATTTTCCGGAAAGGTAAGCAGGTGGTTCATCCTGCAGTTAGGAAGTGATTTATTGTAGGGAAGTAAAAAAAAAAAAAAAAAAAAGATAGAAACTCAGAAAGCACACTGCTTGAGATGTCACAATCAAAGTTATCTCCAAAGAAACCTATTAAAACACTGTAATATAGGTCATTAGGAGAGTGGCCACAAACCCCTCAAATTTCCACAGTAGATATATACGTTTGCTAATAACTAAAAAGATTAGTTTTCATTACTGTGATTTACCTTAGATCACAAAGTATCATTTCTCTACTAGACGTGACTGTCAGGCACTGTAAATTGAAGTTAGTTAACACTTCTGTGTAATTTCCAGGGTGAAAATGAGGAAGGTTTAGAAACAGTAGGACTGTATTTTTGTTTCCTGATACAAAGCAAACAATTATCAAGCAAAGGGCCAATGCTTGGCCCCTGGGATGCTAGTAACATTTCTTAACACCTGCTGAAACAATGACAAGGTATTAATTTGAAAAACAATGAGGACAACCCAAAGCCACAGTAGTCAAGTGTTACACTTTCAAGCAATTTTCAGCGAATGGATTGAGCAGGTTCCATGATGGTCCTATAATTGTTGCAGTTTTGTTATACAAAACAATAGAGGTTCTCCAATGAGATGTAAGTGATAGCTATCAGTTCTAAGCAGGCACCTCTCTCCTTCTCTCCTTTTGGCAACTGCGCATCAAAGGTCATTCTCAGTAGGGATGGGGATCTCTACCTGGGGGACTTGAGAAACTCATTATTATTGTTTCCATTTCTCCCCTGGTGATACTTGTGGCGATATGGCCTTCTCCTGGGCACATGCAGCCATCTTAGAGCTAAGGTGCAAAGTCAAATGCCGCAGATCTATCAGTAACCCAAAATGTTAGAAGAAACAGTTATCTACAGTGATGTGTATTTGCACCATTCCTTCTCTTTTCACAAAGTTTCACCGTCTTCCAAGGGGCATTTCATTCAAGTTTTAAAAACTCTGATATTTTAAAAAATCAGTGTGGTCCGTCTTACCCGGGTAGTTAAGAAATTCCATGATTTGCTCTCTTATGACTCTTTTTTTTTCTTAACAGCACTTACCAATTGCTGATATTGCATTATATACTATTTGTTTGTCTGTTGCCTGTCTTATCCCACTAAAACATAAGCTCTATGAACACAGGAACTTTGTTTGGCCTGTTTTCTATTGTATCCCCAGCACACAACATGGTACCTAACACATAGTTGGTGCCCAGTAAATATTTGCTGAATGGGCAAATTCAAGAATGAATGAGAAAATCCTTTCTCCACCTCCTTTTTCAAGCCCTTCAGTCACACTGCATGGAATTTTACTGGATCTCCCACAAACTGGAATTTGTGCATATCATTTAAACTTTTCTGTAAAATAAGAGTTAAAAAAAACTTCTCTGGGCCTTAATTATGCGATCTATAAAAATGGGATTACTAACAGCTCCCCTACTTACCTCTAAGGACTGTTATGGTCATCAGTTAGAATAGTATATGTAAAAATGTTTTGAAAGCCATATATTGTAATACAAACATGAATTACTATGATTTTTCCCCCGTAGTATTATACCATTCCACAGCCTTACCTACCTTTAGAATCTACTCTAGAACCAAGAAGAAAAGGGGGCCTCAGAGGAGCTAACGTCAAAATAAAAATGATAAAAATCTCAGCACAAAATATGTGTAGTTTTCTCATAATAGAGTCCTCAAGCTCCCACTCCCATCCAGTTCCAACAAGTTTGGTTTCCATTCCTTGATGGAGCAGAAATAGGGAAGAGGAGGGATTGTTTGAAAAAACTGCAGATAAGAGAGAGCTATCATTTTTCCTTATGCCTGACCGTGAAGGAGGAGGCTGCCCAACTGCAACACCAGACATGTAGACTCACCAACCGCTGGGGTTTGGGACTATTGAGGGCAGGGGCAAGCCTCCCCTATATCTCGGGAGGCCCTACAGGGAAGCGGGTCACTATGCAGCCACTGGGGAAAGACACGGTCACAATGGTGATCCTGGGTCATTGAGGAAACATTATAGTCAGTACCCTGTTTAAAAAGGCAGGAAGGATGTATAACGCATTTTAAGTAGATTTCCAATCAAAACAATTAAAATAAGAACTGTTCACAAACAAGCTAACCCCTTCATTATAGCTGAAAAATATACTTGACCAGACAGCTGATGCTATTAAATTATGCTTTTATATCATAGTGCTACCTGCACACAGTGGGACAAACTTTTAGGTGTTTTTAAATATCTCATAATGACATTGTATATTTTAAATGTGGCTTGGATAGACTGATAGAATATGACATAGATTTTAGAAAACATTTAAACAAATATCTGTATAGTTAACTGCATCCATGTGCGGAAGACATAATTTGCGAATAAGCTACTCTGTGGCTCAGGAAAAGAAGAACATTTTAATCTGAACTTGCCCCTACCAGAATACTTCTGAGCTTGAGAAAAATGAGCTCAAATTTTCAGCATCCTAAGTCAGCCCTAATTATGAATACAAATCTCCTACATATACCAATGGGTCAAAAACTATATCTAAGACAAAGACATATGCTTTGGGGATTATGCAATGTTTTAAGTGACTGGTACTAGCACTTCCCTCCAGTAGTGTGGATAGTTAAGAGACAAATTTCAAAGGTGACTAACTGCTAGTGTCCACATGGAACTAAACCACTAAGTGTTCTAACAAAAACCTCACAGGGAAACATAGGTGAACTCAGAGACTTCAGAGGTAGAAATGAGTTGAGAAATGATTTTATCTGAAGGTTCTTAAGCCTGACTGCAAATTTGAAGGACCTGGGGAGCTTTAAAAATACTGATGTCTGGGCCCTGACCCCCAAAGATGCCGTTTCCATTTTGTCTGGCAAGCAACCTGGGCATTAGTGCTTGCAAAAGCTCCCTAGGTGTTTCCAATATGTAGCCAAGGTCAAGAATCACTGATTTAGTCCATTAGTTTCCAAACTTGTACTACGTATCAGATTCATGTGAAGAACTTAATGGAAAGCAATATCCAGGCTCCACCCCAGAATGACCGCATCAGAATCTCTGGAGGTGAGGGCCTGGGACTCTCTATTAATAAAACAAAAACAATTATGTGCCTATTAAAAAATAATAAAATAATAATAAAAGCTAAATAAGTTAATAAAAACCAAACCAAAAAACCTTTTTTTTTGCTAAGTATTACTGCTGCACATTCTGGTTTGGGGACTGCTGACTTAATAGGTAATAGTTGTATGCTGGTAAACTGGCTCTTCTTTTTTCTTTTTTTTTTGAGATGGAGTTTCACTCTTGTCGCCCAGGCTGGAGTGCAATGGCACCATCTTGGCTCACTGCAACCTCCGCCTCCCAGATTCAAGCGATTCTCCTGCCTCAGCCTCTCCAGAGGAGGTAGCTGGGATTACAGGCGCATGCCATCACATCTGGCTAATATTTTGTATTTTTAGTAGAGGCGGAGTTTCACCATGTTGACCAGGCTGGTCTCGAACTCCTGACATCAGGTGATCCACCCACCTCGGCCTCCCAAAGTGCTGGTATTTTAGGCATGAGCCACTTTGCCCAGCAAAACCAACAACAAAACAAAACACCCTGATTTGTAGTGCTTGCCAGTTTGCATGGTGTAAATACTCCCATCAAGGCTAATTGTGAGCTACCAATGTGCTCTCATTGAAGGCAAAGTTGGAGAGAGATGCACATAATTGACTCTTGGGAGCCAGTGCTAGCTACTCTACCACACCCCTGGAAGTGCAGGCTTTATGGTCCAACTGACAGCACCTGATCTTCACACTCCACTTACTCACCAGGTGACCTTGGATATGCTAATTAACCTCTTTGTGCTTCAGATTCCTCAGCTATAAAACAGAATGATAATATTAACCCCCTCCTAGGATTGATTTCAGAAGCAAATGATTACTATTATCTACCATATATAAACAATGTACATATAGAATATATGTGTATTATGTACTATTGTTTTCTATAAAATTATTTACTAAAAGGTTTATTGTAATATTATTAGCTATTAAAGTATATGTTAATCAACTTAAAGTTTAGCTTTGTTCTAAGTCATTAATAGCTGGTAAAAAAATACTTTTTCTAATATGCATTAAAATAATTACCACTATCCAAATCAAGGTGTTTGTTTATACACTAACTGAAATTATCTTGCAGTATGGCAGAATTTTTAAGAGCATTGGCTTAAATCTCAGCTCTTCCACTAACCCGATGTGGGGTCCTGAGCAAATTAACTTCTCTGTGACTTAGTTTCCTCATACTCCTCATATTTAAAGTGAGGTTATTGTGAAGATAAAATGTAAACTGTTCTAGTGAGTGCTTTATCAAGCTTGGTTGTAGGAGCAGTAATAGTAGTAATTATATTTTGTATCACCAGTGGTAAATGTACCACATTTTGGAACATGCTGCATCAACTACTTCTGCCCTCCAGAGTGTGAAAACTCTATTAATTCAATTTGCTTCTTCATAGCCTAATGGTATGGTTGGGCTGTGTCTCCACCCAAATCTCATCTTGAATTGTGATTCCCATAATCCCCAAGTGTCGTGGGAGGGACCCAGTGGGAGGTAATTGAATCATGGGGGTGGTTACCTCCAGGCTGTTCTTGTGATAGTGAGTTCTCAGGAGATCTCTTGGTTTTATAAGTGACTTTTTCCCTCTCACTCATTCTTCTTACCTCTGCTGTCATGTGAAGAAAGACGTGTCTGCTTCCCCTTCTGCTAGGATTGTAAGTTTCCTGAGGCCTCCCCAGCCATGCTGAACTGTGAGTGAATTAAACCTCTTTCCCTTATAAATTATCCAGTCTCTGGTATGTCTTCATAGTAGCATGAAAATGGACTAATACACCTAATAAGTCTTCTAATTTAGCATAATTAATCCATAAACACTTAATGAGTACAGATCAGGGCACCCTGCATTTTGATATGGAGTCCATTTACTGCCCTCCCATCTTTATAATAAATCTGAACCTAGCTTGTAGGAATTATTAGATTGAACCATATGAAATGGCTGATATTTGACTTCTTTGACCTCACCAATATGTCAATTTCATGTGATTCAATCTAACATAACCTGATGTTAGTACCAATGACTGGATCAAGTTTCTTTAGGTGTTTGGGCCTTATCTATAGGACACCTGTTCAAACTTGCCTGAGGATACCCCCTCTGCTCTGGATCCTACAGAGAACAGACCACAACTACCAAATCTTTGGGTCGAAAGCCTAGAATTTCAATTTCTATCACTGTTGAAGATCAGTGGAGCCCAAGGCTGATGTCTGCAAATTCATCCCCCATCCACCTATATGCAATAGAGTGTGGACATCACACTACCACCACCACATGTGTCCTTCTCCTGGACTGAAGTTCCTAATAAGTGCCAGGTATGGTGCTGGATGTTCTATGTATGTTGTGTCATTTAATTTGCACAGCAAACCCATGACTTAGGTATTATTGTCATCTCCATTTTAAACATGGAGAAACAGGGCTAGAAAATTTGAGTAGTCAGTTCCCTGTGAAGGGAAAGTTTATACTTTGGGGGCTTGAGAAAGTAAATTACTTAACTTCTCTCCCTGCTGCAGTTATGTGAGCTTTTGCCATTCTCCATTATAAGAACTGTCTACCTGAAGGAGTCTGAGGTTTGTTGATTGGAATATTATATAAATTCAAAGCATAATTATTGATTGTACATTCTTTCATTAAACAAACAAAATATATGCTAACACTAAATTCACTCCAATTTTCTATTTTGTCTTCCTTTGAGAAATAAGCCAATAAACCATTACACACTTAGCTTCCTGGGGAAATGAATTTAAATGTTAATATAAATCCTTTTAGAAAAAAACAAATTTTAACAAATAAGTATTTGAACAAGGAGGGTACTTAACCACGTTCAGAATGAGAAATGCTTAGTACAAGACCCTTGGTGGCTGTTGAGATAAGCTCTCTAAATTTAATATTTTATAATAGACTCACACCTCTTTTGTTAGAAATGGAGAAACAAAATCATTTTCTTTTTCGCTTTATTGGAATATATTAAAATCTCTCCAATTTTATTTTGCTAATAGGCAGGACAAAGTCTGTCTATGAATGTATCCTGATTTACCACAGGTAATCCCACACTTTAGCATTCATGTGTTGTACTTAACCTCAATTTAAATGTAAATTTTGGGCAACTTCGAGTGCTTTATCTGTGAACTTTGAGAGCTCTCTTCATTAATGAGGCCTGTACTAATTATAAGCAGTTTTGTGAGGTTTCCTTAAAACAATTGCAAAATTGACCCCAAAATGAACAAATTTAGAATTTATTTGTTTTTTATTAGGTTGGTGCAAAAGAAATTGCGTTTTCCACATTTTTAATTGCAAAACCACAATTACTTTTGCACCAACCTAACAAAAAATACTATCACCCTTGTGCAAGTTTCTAGCTTCATGGCTCTCCTCCGAAGGTGTGCACACAGGAAGGTTGGTGAACATGAGGAAAACAGAATGAAACACCAGAGAAACCGATGAAAATGAAAGTGAAAGTGAAGTGGGACCTTTCTTCCTGAGGAAAGAAACCATACCCTCTTCTTATCTGAAAAAAAAAAAAAAATTCTACTACAAAATAGTCTTGGCTTCTTCCTGATGATCCAAGTCAGGAACACACAGTTTAGCTAGCAGCAATTCATATGAGTAGCACTATCAAAATTCTCATGAAAACAAAAAGTAAACATGAAAAATAAACAAAAAAACCCCGCAAGAAACAATTTTCAAATACTCACAGGTACATCCACATATTTGGAAGCTGCCTTCACCTAAAGAGGAAAGAAGAGGATGGAAGTGAGGCTGGTGTTTATGTTTAATTGTTCACTGCTCAATGCTGTATCCCCATCAGAATCAAAACAACAGGCTGGCACGTGGAGCTGACCAGGAAAAACAGAAAGGTACTAGAAAATAAAATCTGTTTGCTATTTTTTCAAGCCATAGCCACTGCTTTGCAGAAACAGAGAATGCACACTCAAATTTACTGATTCAGATTCTGTTGCTGGAGCGGGAGCTTTACATTTTCCTCCCTCCCATTGAAAAAGAGAAAAGTGACTAGCTAAACCCAAATGGATCAGTGGGGGGCTTACCGGTCTAGAGAAGCAACTAAGATTGCTGTTACTTCTCGTACCTTGGGTCTTTGTATAATTCGGCTGCAGGTTGTCCTAACTAAATAACGAAATACCTCAGTTCTCAGCTTTCGTTAACTCAGATTTTTAAGAGGAGGATGGACATCCTCAACCCAGAGGGAGATGTTGTCTGTGGGTAGGGGAATGAGAACCTTTCAAAACTGTCCAAAGCCTGCTTTTATGTCTCCTGATTTTAGGTGCTAAAAATTCCAGATGGGAAGTGCAGCAAGTGGTTATAAAATTTTTAGTTTTGTGGGGAGGGAGTATGGTAGTGTGCTAGAGTGTTATGTTTGAGAGCATGGAGTTTGGAGTCAGACCTCGGTTCGAATCCCAATTCTACCACTTAGAAGCTGTGTGACCTTGGGCAAGTTACTTCATCTCTCTGAGGCTCAGTTGCCTCATCTGCAAAATGAAGTTATTATAAGTAATAGTGCCTATTTCCACAGGTTAATAAGGATGAATTCACACTTAGCCACAGGATGTAAGCACAGAACAAATGGCAGCTAAGATGATGAATTCATAAGCAAATGTGGGTGAGCTCTGAGTACTGTGAGAAGCCAATGAACAGCTGGGTTTGAGAAACAAAGCCTATAGGAGTATGTTTAATATTCTGTGTGTTTCATTTTGACTCAGGTCACACATGTTATCTAGGCACAATTAAGACCAAGGGGTCACATCTGGAGTCAGAGAGGGTTTCCTGTGTTTACTGGGAACTGCAAAGACTGCAATGCACAAAAAGCAGTTAGGATGTCTTTTCACATCTCAGCCAGGCTTCCTCCTGCAATTTGGCTGAGATCAATATTAGGAATCACAGCTTCACCCAAATGTCTCCCAGAAAAGTACCCAGGGGAGTGATTTCCTCTATTGCTCTTTTCTCAATGCTAGTTTCCAAAATGTCAGCTCTCAAGAGAAAACAGCCAATGAACCAATAGGGTGGGGTGGAAAGAGCCCAGAATTTAGAGTCAAAAGTTCTTTCAGTGCCAGAACTCATTGACCCTGGGGAAATCACGCCAAGTTCCTTAGCCTTGGTTTCCAGATTTCTAGACCAAGGTGACAATACTGTGTACTTTGCAGGGCTGAAAGTTTGATGAAATGAGAAAACACATGAGAAAGTGCTTTGTAAACTTTAAAGCAGGGAACACACATCAGTTAGGTAATTATCGAGAGGGCAATGCATTCTACCTTCTTGAATCATTGCCAGCCCCCAAGATGATTCCTGGAGTCTCCGGTTATAGATTCTCTTAGAACCTTACATTTGTTCTTTGCAGCATTGATTGCAATTCTGCCAAAATTTTTTTTCTTTTGGCGCAATGTCTACCTCCCATATAATGTCATGAGAGCAAAGGCTATCTTGGTCTTGCTCATGGCTGTCTCCTCAATGATTCACCTGGTACCGGCTTAGAAAGGGAACTCACGGAAAAATTATAGAGGGAAGGAATGAGAGAAAGCTAATGACCAGTTCTGGCTTCATGATGATTGGGAAGTAAGCAGAGGCAAGACTGGATCAAGGAGACACTTCACTGATCAGTCCGAAAACCAACATAGTTGTATGGAAAGCTGACTGCCTGCAGAGGCTGGTGGGTAAAGGAAAATACTCTTAGTCCTTACAGGGATTTGAGGCAGGCTCTCCAGATTTTGCACAATTATCATTTCTACTAAAAGATTCTAAACCCCAAATCTTTCCTCTTCATTCCTATGCTACAACTTAGTTCAGGAAAGAAGGTGGCTTGCCTTTTTTTTCAAGTCTCCCCCATGTATACTATTATCTAACGTTTCTGTGATATTTTTCATTTGCAAAACACTTTCACAAACAGCTTCTTCTTTAAGCTGCCCTGCAAAAAGGGGGCGATTCAATCAGATGCATTTACAATCAAGAACCTAAAATCCATAGAATTTAAGGAATTTATTTGCTCATGATCACAGACAGGAGGCAGAGAAGCCAAGACTCCCACATGGTCATCTGAGCCCAACTTTCTCCCTTCGTACTCTTGATCTCCTCAATACTGGTAGAAAAGTACGAGGAATTCGAGCATCAGTGGTCAGAGCAGGTGCTAGCAAAACAATTCTTCTCAGCTAGAAATTCCTCCCGTACTCTGTGACGTTGATGCTTAGCAGTTGGTAGGGGTTTTGCTACAGCTGAAATGATCAACTTATAAACACACCATTTACCATTTACCACTAACATGCAGTTACAATCCGGAGAATGACACCAGTATAATTCTATTCCTTTAAAGGCATTTTGGGAAGATGAGGCAAGTTTCTGTCACGAATGAAAATCATCCACTCTCCTTCATGCACCAGCCCTCAGTTTGTTAGGACTGTTCTTTTATTTAATAAATGATGACTTGCACTTAGTCTTAGTGATCCTCCTCCCATCCCATAATAACAGGAAAAAAAACCCAGGGTAAATTGTGGTCTATTATTTGTTAGAGACATGTGTGTATCATTTTTGATTCTGGATATTGAACATTTTTTTTGCGGGGGGCGGGATGGAGTCTCACTCTGTCGTCCAGGCTGAAGTGCAGTGGTGCGATCTCGGCCCACTGCAACCTCTGCCTCCCGAGTCGAAGTGATTCTACTGCCTCAGCCTCCCGAGTAGCTGGGATTACAGGCACCCGCCACCACGTCCAGCTAATTTTTGTATTTTTAGTAGAGATGGGATTTCACCATGTTGACCAAGCTGGTCTCAAAGTCGTGACCTCAGGTGATCTGCCTGCCTCGGCCTCCCAAAGCGCTGGGATTACAGGCAGGAGCTACATACCCAGCTGCTGGATATTGAACTTGAAGAAAGATGTTGATGATGAGGAAAAGGGGGAGTCTGGCGGTATATTCTATAAGGAAGGCGAAAGAAAAGGCATCTTGCCTAGAAAAAGATGGGCTAATTGCAAAGAAAATCATAATATTCATGTGGTTAATTAAGGAGCTTTAGTGCAGAAGAACTGAATTTGTTCACAATGGTTCCAGAGCATAGAATCAGAATGAATGTGTAAAATTACAGGGCCCTAGAAAAAGGTCTAAACAGCTATCACAGTCCAGTTAGGAACTGGCCATGTCTGGTGATAGAGACCTCCACCTCACTGGAGAAGCTCAAGCAGAGGCTAGTTAGAAGGCTCTGGACCTGTTTTTCTTTTCTTTTCTTTGTATTTGTTTCTTTACCTACATGAGAGGTTATCTCAAAGGCTGCTTTTCATTCTCTGATTCAAGTCCCCTTAAGAGGTAGGAAGTTGTCACCAGTTACATTCTTTACAGTAGATAAATGTAGCAGAGTGGAGAAATTGACAGAACCAGGATCAGAATCTTTTCCTGCATAATGTCAGCAGTGCTCCCTTTTTAAGGATCACCTTTTCTTAAGTTATCCATATCCATAGGAATATGTCTTTTTGCCAGCTATACTCTAGGTAGTAGGGAATGACCAGATTCTCCCGACTCACTAGAGCTTTGGAATTATTGCCAGAAAATCCAAGCATGCACCAGGCACTGTATCTAGATCAAATAACCAACAGCTCTCATCGTCTATACAAGACTATTTTACATTATAATTAGATATTGTTTTGATGAATGAAACACAAATTTCTTTAAAAGCACTATATAATATAGTAGCTTTTTGTCTTCATGTATTTTTTCCATCAATGGTTGTTAAAAGAGTGTGTGTGTGTGTGTAATTTTCTTTTCTTTTTTAACTTAAAATCTAGCGAAGTGGCTTAGAGAATGGGTTCAGGATTAGCTAGGTTAAAACTCTGGCTTTGCCATTTTTTAGCTTGGTGACTAGCCATTACTTAATTTCTCTGAGCCTCCTCTGTAAATGGGACAATAATAATGCTACTCAAAGGGTTCAACTAAATGTAGCTATGCTTATCTTGATTACTGGTAATATTGGTTTACCAGTGTAGACAAAGCACATGCTCCTCAGCCAGGTGGTGATAGTCAGTTTCACTCTCCACCTCTGGCCCGTGGGCAATTTCTTGCTATAAAAAGGATGCTGGAATCTCCCCAGGTTACCAACAGGTATCTGAGCTGATTCTCCATCTGGCATAGTTTCTGCCAGTTCTGTGACACCCTATGCACTGAGAACTCACCCTCTAAATGTTGAGGCTGACAGCAAAGAACTGTTCTCTTCCCTAAGTATGATTGAGTGTGGGCATAAGTGAGAGGGCAGTTCCCCAGGCCAGTGCCCTGGGTTATAATCAGCAACACAATCCGTTACTCTCTGGGACCAAGTCATAGCCATGTACCCTAGGGCACAGGAAACAAAGGGGAGGGGGTAGGGCTTGCCCCAGATACCTGGTCTGGTATTGCTCCTGAGCAGGTTCTCAACTGCCTTCAAAGGAGAAGCAAGAACTGTGACTTCAGTAGAACTTCATCTCCTGGGACTCCCTGCTTTCTGACCATCCCTTCTGGTAGGACAACCCATATCCTTTCTCTAGCAGCATTCATGAACCCTCTTGTCCCCAACTCTCCAGATAGAGCCAGTTCTGGAAAAAGCTTAGAAAAAGAGACACAAATCCAGAGAGGCTGATGGAGGCTAAGGATAAAATTAGGAGGAGATGCTGTCAGTGAGCAATTATTCATGTTTTCATGTGCCTGAAACAAAGAACACTTACTATGTACAGGTGCCACATTAGGAGCTGTAAGATGAACGTGCT